AATCCCTAGCAGAGGCTTTTCCATCCCTCTTTTAAATTGCTCGCAACAGAGGTGGAGCTTTTAGGGAATTTTTAGAGATGGTAATGAACAGATTGTATGGGTAGGGATGCAACTCAGGTTGGCCCAAGTTAACATTTTACACTGTTTCAAACTCAGGCAGTCAGGCTTTGGGATGGGCCCATTCAAATTTTGACAAAATCCCAACATTTACCCATCCAAGTTGCACCCTATGTGGGTACCCAGGTTGCATAGGAATTTGAATGATTGGGAGGTTGAGACCTTGGGTCTCCTGCTGGGCAGGTTGCAGACAGTCCAAATAAATCCCACTTCTTGGGATGCTAGAGTTTGAGCTTGCAAGATGGCCAGTTCTCCACCAAGTCATGTTATTCAGCTCTCCTGGGTCCAGATGAGAAGGTGGCTTGGTCTTGGATTTGGAAGGCTCAAGTCCCATCCAAGATCAAGTTTTTGTCTGGCTGACTGCAAGAGATGAGGTTCAGACTTCTGCCTCTTTGTTGATACTTGGAATGGAATTGCATGATACCTGCAGTCTTTGGGGATCAGCCTCTGAATATGTTCATCATTCTTCACTCATTGCCCTCACACTCATCAGGTGTGGTGCCACTTTTCCATGCTTTTCCAGCTTTGTTGGGTTCCACCATCTTCTGTTGCTGAACTCATCTCTGGGTGGAGGGCTGGCTGTTTCTCAGCCATCCTTGGAATAGCATGCTATTTGCAGTTTGCTGGTTAGTCTAGAAGGAACAGAATCGAAGAATACTTTATTTCAAGTCTGAATCAGTGGAAGCAATCATTGGCAAGGTGGAAAGGGTTCTGAAGAGTTGGTCTAGCTGCTCAAAGTGTTTTTGGGCATGCCTGCCTATTTCTTCACCAATCACTGGCGATCTATCATTTTTTTAGATGTATTGTAAAGGCTTTCGTTGTATATGATTTGTGCATTTTTTTTTTTTTTGATCAATAACACTTTCATTAATTCATCAGTAGAAAATTTACAAGTGGAAGACAAACACACTTATCTTCCAAAAGTCACAAAGAACTTCAAGAAAGGAAAAAATACAAAGATACAAAGACACTACCGTTACAGCTTAGCCCAAAACAAAGAATCCC